TTAAAATAAAACTTTTTTAATTACACGATCAAACAATTTAAATAAACTCATAGGCAATAAAATCTGGTCGCCAACTGTTTTTGGGTTTTTATAAAAAATTGTAACGAAATAGATAACGGATCGCAGTTTTTTCTCCCTGTTTGAAGAAACCACATGGATAGGTTAGGTACCTACAGCGCCGGCGCTAGCTCATGTAACGCCCGAGTGCAATCAATATCTCGAGATCTCATTCACCTAACAAAAGCACCTTCGCAGCACACACACACGCACTCACACATGCATTACCACACTCATTTACCATAAGTCATATTTTTTAGTACTATTTCTCAAATAATTTTGCTATTATTATCTTTTCTCTTTTTTTGTTTTTATTCTAATTGAAAGAATAGTGGACCTTGTTGTTTCCCTGTGCAGGGTAAGGTTGTCCACTAGCGCGCGGCGGAACACTGGCTCTTATGTCACAGGTTACCCTACTTTGAGAGTCAGGGATCTTGTATTGTAATAACCTTATTTTATATTTAGTTTGTAAACCAAAAATTTTTTCATAATAAATATTATTATTATAATGCCCTGACGCCCTCTAGTAGGCACGCGACACCTACAGATAAAGTGATCTTTGTGATATTTCGGACCGTCATTTCTCGAATTCAGAACTGGGGGTCTACTTTCGATCTCCGTTCGACATCCGTCCGAAACAATTACTGTCAAATAAGCAATACTTAACCAAATGAAAAGACGCGTGATACGAATGAAGCTTCATGCTTGATACTTGTCTTTTAATTTTGTCGAATATTACTTATTTGACAGTAATTGTTTCGGACGGATGTCGGACAGAGATCGAGAGTAGACCCCCTGATACGAATCGAACGTAGTGCGCAAATGCTCTTACGGCATAACACCCTGCGTCATAAGCACACGGGCGCTCACATTTATTGTCCGTGAGTGTAGCTAATTACATTTGTAGACATGCAATATCATGCAGAGCACAATTATAACACAGTAGTTAATGGATAACATTTTGTTTGGTTGTGCATATGGTATAGTGGCTTAAATCAAAATTGTTGACTTTTTACATATTACACAATAATCGGAATATGTCAAATTTAAAATTGTGATGAAGATACTGAGATTTTCATTGGTATAATGGTCATGTGACAACGATATGCCTAATTTTTTTCAATCTTTCTCATGAATTAGTTGTTGTGCGGACTTGCAGCCGTGACTGGTTGTTAGTGAATAAGAAAATCAATTCTTCGATGTCGGGAAGTGGAGGCGACTTGAAAGGCTCGCTTTACTTTCTGGAGTTATAGTTGGCGGAATATTATTTACACCTATTTGGCTTTGTTCACCCTGGTGACAAATGAAAAAAAATCCATACGTTACCAGGTGGTGACAAACGGAATAAAAAATCTCAGTTGTTGCCAGTGGTGATTTCCACTGGCGACAAATGGAAAAAACCCCATGTGTAACCAGGTGATGACAAATGGGATAAAAAACCCATATGTTACCAGTAGGCCTGGCACGAAAGGGCGTGACTAGCGCGAGAGCGACCTAAAGCGCGAGATACTGCCATTCAGAGGCATATTGTAGGCAGGCAGGGTGGAGGTGGCTAGTGCAGTGAGGGTTTCATCGCTGCACTAGGTTCCTTCGCGTTTGGATACCACTTTCCACTTAACATCAGGTGGAGTGGAGTCATTTGCCTGTCATGTATAAAAAAAAAAAAAAAAAAAAAACTCGCATAGAGTTCTCCCGCTTTATGTCGCTGTCACGCCAGTCGCGCCCTATCGTGCTAGCCCTACAGGTGACAAGTGGGATAAAAAGATATGTTGTTGCAACTGGCGACAAATCGCATTTAAAATATCTCAGTAGTTGCCAGTGGTAACAAATGGAATAAAAAATCCCAATTAATGTTTGTCTATTGCCGCCATCGAAAGGGAATAAATAAAATTCGAGTTTAATGATAAAAATACGGATCTTAGGAAATGAAACTATTTTTCCGGATTTAAATCGCGTATATTTGTTTCTTCAAACAACCGACGTTTCGGGCCCTTTACAGGTCTCAAGGTCACGGTTGACTGAGGTGGTACAGTCTTCAACCAGTTATGTCTAATATTAATGCAAACCACCCTATTTTTTCACTATAGTTACAATAGTTATTAATTGAATACCTTGTTCTAATTTTACAAAGAAAACATTCCAATTTACGCTACATTAAGTTTTACAAGTTATTTTATTGAATGAATTTTTATTAAGTTTAATTTATTATTAATTATTAATACAAATTAGAATAAACTAAAACATATTAATTAGTACTGCAGTCTTATGTCTGTTTGGGATTTTTCATTAGAGGAAATACTGGATCCCAAACTGGTGGTACGGAGAAACCATCTTCCCTGTTGAAATTAGGATGTTTTTTAATTTCAATGGCCTCTCGCAGCATCCTGGGTAGACAACGGACTTCTTTTGCAAGGACCTATAAATACGGATCTTATTAAAAAAAATCTAGATTTCCCAATACATTAAAACGAATTTAAGCAGCAGTATAGCACCTTGTGAAAGAGTTCATCCAGGGAAGTACCTACTCCTGCCGCCAAGCAGCAATGTGAATATTACTGCGTTCCGGTTTTGAGGGTAAGGGTGCTGACGAAATTACAGGCACATTGGACTTGTCAACTTATGTCTTAAGGTGACGGGCGCAATGGCAGTGCCCCTAAGATCTTTGCGATTTAAGGCTCGAAGGAATATTTGTTTGAGTTTGTTCTCTTTTCTCTCTTCTCTACTCATCTTTGTGTCAATTTTATAAAGCGTTTTCTTCAACCTGTCAATTTATTCCAAGTAATGATAAGTTAAGTAAGTCTGCATTTTATAGCAGCGTCGTAATCAGTAAAATAAGATAAAAGTATACTTATTATTTTCGCGAATTTTTCTCTTTGCGCCTGTTGTTGGTAATCAAGAAATTTTTCCTACCTCATCTCGAATTCAAATTTCTCTTCTTCTGGATTGCCACGCAGAGGTCCTGGGTTCAATTCCCAGGGCGGGAGAAATATAAGTGTGGCCTACATTTACTTATTTATTTATTTATCTCATATTGCACATGTACATAATAAAAAGTTCTTACAATAAAATTTGGTCTTGTACATAACCCAGCCAGGGTGTTTCAAATAAGCTTAAAAAATAAATCTATAAATTAGTAGTAAAATTTAATTAATTTGAATGAAGTGAGCTTTCCGTGAGTTTTTCTTTTATTTTTCACACATTTCCTTTATTTTTCACAACTTTTTTATCGAATAATATAATTTGTGAATAAGATATTGCTTCAATTTCTTTTTAAATGCATTAATTTTATCCTCTCGTCCAATAAATACTGGGATTTTATTGTAGATTATAATTGAACTATACAATGGACCTTTTTTAAACATTTCTAATTTGAGTTCAGGCAGAATTAGATTATTACGGCGGGGATTTTGATTAAATTAAAAATATTTTGGTTGTTTACGGATAAACAATGCTACTTCCATGATATAAAGGCATGGGTGAGTTAGCATGTTCTCTTTAATAAGATGTGGTCTACAACTTTCCCGTTGACGGATATTTACAATAATACGGAGATATTTTTTTTGAAGAATGTCATGAAACAGGTCATGCGCATGAGTACTTTGTCCCCATAGAATAATTCTGTAGCGCAACCATGCATACGCATACGCGTAGAATGCAGATAAGTCACACTTTGCATGCGTATTAGCTTTTAGGACGCTAAGAGCATAGATAAATTTAGAAATGTTTTTGCCAATTCTGTCTACATGAGCCTTCCAGTTTAAATGCGAATCGACTTCTCTCGTGAGTTTGGGTGTAATTTATGGTTGTCCATGTGTGTGTTCATGGCACCCGCGATACCGGGTTTCCCTAGTGCTATGAAAGTGCGTCAAAATTTGTGTTTTTTTTTATCGTGAAAATGTTTAGGAATCGTGTTGTCACACCACATAGTAATCAGTGTATAATATTCATTTTTACTATATGTTAAGTATTTTCCTACGTATTATTAAAACAAATACACATTTGGAAAATGTACAGTGTATACGTTTTAGAAAAGATGTATTAAAAAGTGATGACCTTCTGTGAAATATTCACACCGCAATAAGGATATCTATCGGATTTTCTTTCTATTGAGGAAAGTAAAAGTAATCGTGTTTCTAAAGAGTATGATTTACAAAGTGAATCCTAAACTATCTTATACATTAACTTCATAACTAGGTGATTATCACTAGTATCAGGTTTCTTACCACGGTATGACTTCTTTTTATTTTCCCGATATTTATATAATATAACGCCACAACAAATCGCGATGAAGGTAGTCGTCGACAGCGCAAGAGGGTAGACCGATATGTCTGCTCATAAAGCTGTCATCTGCCGCCGTCCAGTCAACCCGTGACCATGGAGCGTGCAACCGTTCCGAAATATCGGGAAAATAAAAAGAAGTCATACCGTGGTAAGAAACCTGATACTAGTGATAATCATTTAGTGAATAACCACGAAAGTCTTAAAAATTCATAACTAGGAATCAAACGAATGCAAATGTTTCGCAATCACGTACCGCTGCCTCGGTGCAGGCTTAACATACGCTATTTCAATTTTGACGGGAATACTGTGATGAACACCCTAATTTTTTTTGTATACAACCTGTAAATACAACTAAAATAATAATGTAACAAAGTAGAGTTAAGGCGACGCATTTCAGCATTAGCCTAGATTTCAGGGGTGAGGTGTGGGGGGTCGCCGCTGGCGTCCCGTCGCTTGGTAATCATAAAAAAATAACTTTAAATTTTTATATGATAGTTTTTTACTGTATCGCCATCGTGCTCAGAAGGCTGGCGATATTAATTCCTCTTTGAATTAAGAGTACAGCAGCACAATTGCTGCCAGTGTTGCCGCTCCGTCCCGATTCCGCCAATGGGCGCTGGGCCTTAAGACCTTTAAAAAATTATCTGTGAAATAAGTAAAAAATGTTCAACCAAAATGAACCTAAACATCGACAAGAGCCACTGAAAGAACAATTTAATACATGCGTTATACCACGCGCTGTAAGATGGGCTCGCGATTTCTGTCTCGAAACCAGTATGCATGGGTTCCTCCACATCGCTGTGCAAGGCAGACATTGGTTTGAAAGGTAAGTGGAACTACGGGCACATATAAGTTTTATTAATATTCAGCAAGGGATTTTTATATCCTTGTCCGGCAAAGAGCCGGCTGTCAGTCGCATTCAAATTTCAAACGAGTGTCATCTGTTTATATTAAATTTTGACTATGAAAACTTGTAGCTACACGCTCTAACCTTAATTACTTCATTGAAGAACGAGGACAGGTGAAGTAAAATATCGCTCACAGAGTTTTAGTTTACGAATTCATTCGATTTACAAAAATAAAGCTGCAGAATGCCTCTGCAGTCTTTAGGAAACTTCGGCAGAGTGCGACTGCGGGTATGCGGGGCAAAAGGAGGCTGGCACGGCAGTCCGCTACTACTAAGCAGACAGTTTACTTTCGTCATGCCTAAGAATACTACTTCATTTCTAACGATACACCACAATTGCCACCAGTGTTGCCGTTCCATCTCGATTGCGTCAATGGGGCTGACTGGGCTTTAAGATGTTTGATCACCGGCAAGGTGAGACGACGCGAGACGAGGATTGAAATTTATATGGTTTTTTATAATAATTCTCTCTTAGCGCATCTTCGGTAAATACCGACCATTTGGTCTGGATTGAAACGTGGAGTATTTATTAATTCAACGCGCGCGAGCTCACGATGGCTATTAACATCATTCGCGAAATTGTCGGGTACTTACGATTTGAGTTTTAAAAAACATATTTATTAAAAATAATTTAGGCGATATGTTACTTCAGCCTCGTGTTAATCTCTAGACGAACTGAACAGCACTAAATCTTCATTATTCACAACCACAGCGGGAGCTCGCGAAGGCTAGTGAGATTTCAATTCTCGTCTCGTTTCGTTTCGTCTTGCCTCTCTGATGGAAAAGTACCCTTAAAGCTCTTGGGGAATGGGTGGCGTGTTGCTTTCATCCAGGCGCACGAAATTGTGGCAAAGATGTCAAAGGCGATTCATTCGTCTCGTTTAACATTATTTGACTAACTTGGTCAATGCTCTGGATGCGCATAATTCATATTATGTCATAAATCTTTTTGGTCAAAAATAAGACTAAGTTGTTATAATTATTAATACAAAGATCGAACACTCACGAAAAAATTCCTTCGATCCGACCGGATTCGAACCGACGTCTTTTAGCATACCGTGCCAGACGCTATACCAACTAAACTAAGGGTTTCCTCAGTATACTCTGTTAATTCGATTTCGTCCTCGATTTCAGAATCCTCTGGGCCACCATAACAGCAGCGGCAATTTGGGGCGCCATTGAAATATCGTTGGGCCAATGGCAGAGATTCAACGATAACCCAACAGTGGTTACTCTGGAGAAAGATTTTAGGAATTGGCGGTTTAGTTTACCCAGTATCACCGCTTGTGACGTGGTTAGTATTGCTTGGGCTCGGCAGATGATTTTTAGGTGAAAGGTAATGTAAAAGAAAAGGAAAAAGACAGGGAAAGGTGTGAATATGAAAATAAGGGCTAATAGGGGAGAGTGGAAGAAAAATATATATTATGCCGATTCCACATAGCGTGGGATAAGGGCAGGAAAAGGAAGAAAGGTGCACCTTATAGTTATGACTTTGTAGATGAAATTTCAATTATAATGGTCGGCCGCCTTCGAAATGCCTCGAGTAAGCGGATAATTCAGGGCGAGGGGAGCTACGCACGGCAGGAATGATCTGACCGAAGAGAGGTCAGGTGCGAGTACGATGTCGCGACGCAATGCGCGACACGTGCCAAACCCTATCAACCCGTCCGGATTTGTTACAAAAATTCGCTTCCATTCCGTTCCACTGCAATATAAATTGAGCCCAAGACTGGATTTCTTTCAGGTCTCTTCTTCGACGCTGACGGTTGGCGTGTAACTAGTTAGCACCGACTTGTCAGCCAATGCGTAACATAGCGCTGATCACTGCCAACTACAGAACAAACAATGTTATCGAAAAAAAATTTTGAAATATGTTCCAGAACCGAGTAAAAGCCTCGAAACTTCCAGAGGTGATAAAGAAACTTTGGAACATCGAGCCAGAACACGAGAAATACGATTATTACAAACGCTTTGTGACCACTGTAGCCAATTCGGACATCTTTCATCTTAAAGATTATAAGGAATTTAAGGATGATCACACACTTGACGTTGATTTGAAGCAGTTAGTTATTGATGTGAGTACACTTTATAACATTTGACAACCTTGGTGGTCCAATGGCAGGGGACGAAAGGTGACGAGAAAGGTCACTCTCCGCCCTTCCCTAGTTTTAAATACCGCGCCCCGCATATTGTTGCGACATTAGCGGGTTTTATACAGACACTATATAGCGCGTGATGCAGCAATCATGCGTATTTAAGCGGAGCGTTGTTTTAAATTTTGTAAGCTAACGTGCTTTCGCGCGCGATTTCTCGTGTTTGTTTTTGTTACAGCGGAAAGAGCGTTTTTTTATAATCAAGTGACAGGACGGACAAGTCATGCGCCTCATGGTAAGCTACACGCCTGTTCATAACAGTTGTATTGCCACTCAGATCTTTAAATAGCAAAAATTTGAGGGGCACTGCCACTGCACCCGTCACTCTGAGACAAGTTGACAAGTATCATGCCTGTAATTTCACCAGCACCCTTACCCTTCAAAACAGGAATTCAGTAATGCTGACATTACTACTAGGCGGCAGAAGTAGGTAAATAGGCGTCCTTGTAAAGGCTAATAGCACAGGATAGACCGTGTGAAACTGATGAACGCAATCCTTCCAACGTCTTTACACGTGCGCTCGTTCGCGCATGATTGCTGTATGACGCTCGATAAAGTGTCTATGTAAAGCCCGCTATGCCTGTATGCTCCTGACATCGAGTATATGACCAGAAATAGAGACGAAATAAGGGCCTGGTACATCACTTATAAATATCAACTCTCGTTTGCGCTGAAATAAAGACAGGCCAATAACTGACCTATGTGTACGTCTCCGTATATTCCAAAAATATTCTGTATTTATTGTAATAAAGATGATATCTCTAACAATGTTTAACTGCCTGCGTGGCCGAACGGTTACCATGACTGCCACGCAGAGGTCCCAGGTTCGGTTCCCGGGCGGGAGAAATATTTGCATGGCCTATATTTACTTCTCTTGTGAGTTTGGGTGTCTTTTGTGATTGTCTATGTGAGTGTCCATTGCACCCGCGATACAGGGTTTCCCTAGGCGGGGCTATGTTGAGTGTGTGCGTTATTATTATTAATGGCGTGCTGTTCCATTCGGTGGTGTGGGAAATAACAGCAAAACATCTAATTACAAAACATACAGAATCAAATTTCATCGGTAATTAAATATGTAATGTTGCAATTTTCGTCCATTATAGTAATGAAGTGAAACAATTGACTTGAAACAATTGATTCCGGAACTTCCGGAATTCGAACATCCGCCAGTGACTTTATTTTATGATTTCTGGTGAACGAGACTACACCACTAATGAATAAGACAAGTTTTTATTAAATATAATATACGTCTTTTCATCGACTTAAGTAAACTAGTCTTTTAATCAACATAAAAATAAATCAGATTTTTAATCACCTACTTAATATAAATCAGACTAAACAATTTTGAAAACAATTTTGTTATATGGAAACAAAAAGAACATTTAAAACAACGAGTTTAATGAGTAATATTTATCAAAATAAAACATCTATATTTATCAACATAAAATGAAAAAAATCATCGACATGCTTGACTAACTTAGATAATGATTTTTTAAATCCACTTATTATAAATTTAACCTTAATTAAAAATAAAAATAATATTAAACTTAATTATCTTGAGCTTTAGCTTCTAGGCTAAAACAATTTTGTAATATAAAATAGAAACAAAAATGATTATAAACAATACGAAAACGAGTTTAATAGACTACTAATACTTACCAATCAATTAGAATCAATATTTATCAAAATAAACTGAAATGTAATCAACTATATATAGAAAACAATCAAATATAAGTGTAATACTTGACTAACTTAAGCAATAATTAGATTTTTGAAAAGAAACGCTGTTCTTGGTAACGAGTTCTCAAGAACAATAATGCATCCAACATTTTATCAGACAGTGAGCTTCATATCCGATTACATAAATAACCAGCATTCAAAATACTCCCTTACTTTCTACACTTGTAGGCAGAACAAGAAATATACTTAAATGCCTCGGTTAGATGCGTCGATTTCGCCCTTTGCCATACATAGCTTTCTTTTTTAGTTTTATACAAAGTATCAATAGTTAGACCGCAAGCTGAATCCCGTGAGCTAAGCAAAGCTGGTGCTGGCAAATAGCCTTTGCATTACGTTCCCATTTGACCATCACACTCGCACCGTGTCGGTTTCTTGGCAAACGACGTCTTCTTCCAAAGACACATTGAATTTGGCGAGTTAATCTCGTAATATGTTAAATGCTGTCAGAGCTGGCATTGATCAAGTGATCTTGATAAGACCGACAGTTTTAAAATTGAAACCGCCAAAACCACTACTGGTCAAATTATTGTTCATATTGCGTTTAGTTCGTAATGACGTCCATTCATCTAGCGGCAACTGCGCGAAGCATCCAATGGCGCGGTTAATTGGGACCGGGGTACACACAAAGGGAAGAGTATGGTGTTGGGGTGTAAGTAGTGGACGGGTGGTGTACATAGATGCGTTCGGAAAAAGAAGTAAATAAAATGTCGCTACAAAATGTTTCAATATCGGAATACCGATATTAGGCCTCTTAATTCCAAAATTGAAATGTCCAAAAAATCGCTCCGAGATTCCGGAGTTGCGAAATTTCGGAATTCCGCATATAGTTGTGAACCTTCTTCGACGTGTAGATTTCATCACGATATTTACCTTCACCAAGCTCAATGTAAATTTCAAATAAAATTTCGCACATAAATTCCGAGAAATTCACACTTGTAAGGTTGGATTCGATCCACAGCCTCATTTTCATAGGTCACTTAATAATCATAAAATAATTAAAAATTCTGGTATGCTATGTAACGTCTATGGTTTTTTTAGGTGTTGCCAGATTTCCTCGTAAAAACAACCTGGTCTCAACCAACCGACGCTGTGTGGACGCCCGTCATGACAGAAGCCGGCATTTGCTATAATCTCAACTCCTTGGCTATTGATGACGTTGCTATCGTGTAAGTTACTGTATTGTTGTGTCTGTGTGAGTCTTGTAAATTGGTAAAAGCTGACCAAGGCGAACATACTAGGGTTGTAGCGAATATCAGCATAGCATCCGCATCCGCGGATAATCTGCATAGATTAAAATATCCACATGACATGACATGACCTAAAAGGCACGCTGGAATCATTTACAAACTTTCCAGAAACAGATTGTAAGCCGAAAAAGCAGCACAGATGAAAGTTATAATTTTGATAAAATAAAAAAATCCTTCTTTTCTCGATCTTTCCATGTTTTGGTTTTTTTTCCAGAAAACCTAATCCAAACGACACTAAGTCATATCCGCGTACTTGCAAGTACTCTTCGCAATCCTGTTACCTTGTTTTGGAAGTACAAGTGAATTGTGACGTAAGTAATAGAAAAGTCGTTCTTGATAAATTCAAATAACACTTAAAATTAAAATTAGAAAACCCCCGATACAAAATATCAATAACAGGCATACAGATGCCAACAACTCATTATTTGATTTTTGAATAACTGGGAATTAGTCTTAGCGTCCGGCTCCGGACCGTCCCGTTCCGCCTCCCGGTTTCAATATGACAGGGTTAATAACACGAAAGTTAAAAAAAATTACATGGTCTGTGGTTCATAAGTACTCGAACATTCCCGCAAAAATTCGCGCGCTCGGAACGCGTGTACCTATAATAGTATTTTACGCAATCATAGCATAATGAGGGCTCTTAATGTCGAGTACCGTGTTTAGGCCACGAACCTATTTGCCGAGTATGTGTGTAAAGACTTTATTGTATGTATAACAAAACAGATTACAAAATTTTAACAAAGAATATAACGTTAGCGTACAAAGTACCAAGGCAAGTTTTACCCATAAAGGAATTTTCTCTAAATTAACCTTTCAATAATTGAAATGGCAGTTGGTTTCTGAGTTGACAATGAAATTTAATAAGAGACCCCATATTAGCGTTTTTCGAGCGTCAGCGTCTTGCCAACATACGCACAGCGTCTACTCACGTTCTTTTGATTTAGTCGAGTATTACTTTTTGACAGAAATTGTTTCGGATGGATGTAGAACGGAGAATGGGAGTACACCCTTTAAATAGTGCCGAACGGCGTGGTGTCGCTGTGGCGCGGAGTCGTGTCGACGCTGTGCGTGGGTTGTTGGCAAGACGCTAACGCTTGAAAGACGCTAGTGTGGGGGTTTCCAAATTAATAAGTTGAATGCAACATACTCTGGTAGCTGGAAGCTCATTTATTCCTTCTTTCGTCAATGTATCATCTTTCCAGATGTATTTCCACTCCCCGTACGACGTGTTAGACCTGTCAACTCCCGCGTCTCGTGTGGTGCTGACCCTAAATCGCTTCAGTGCGTTAAGCGTGATGGAGACAGGCAGCGGGCGTGGTGTCAAAGATCTCAGTCCTCGTCGACGTAGTTGTTTGTACACTGATGAGCCTGTACAGGAGCATCGAAAGGTAAACATACAACAGCCCCGTATCTTTCTACATTAGTTTTGATTATAGCTTGCGACAGTGACATGACACTGAAATAAGGTGTATTAACTTACTCCAAGTTATCATGCAAGCTTCAGTATCACCAAGCCTGCGTTGGTATCAAAAGGGGTATTACAATTTCAACATCGACGTGGGTATGTCCAGAATGCCAGGTCAAACAAAAACGTCGTGATGATAACACCTACACACCTTTAATACTTTACTACTAAGAAAGGAACACAGACACAGAGAAACAGAAATAGAAATAGCATTTAACAGCGAACTGCTATAGCGTGTCAACCCTATCTAGTGCGCCCGAAGCGACGAACGAAGACCACTCATCCTCGAGGAAGTAGATTAGTCTTTGCGAATGTAGATGGCGCTTCTCGCCATCGACCCTGTTTTGCCAAAATATCACTTTTTCATGACTAAATATGGTAATAACAATAGGACTTCCGGTAACTTAACGACGTTTTTAACGACCCGCACTACACTGGTTCGAGTTAGAAGTCTTTCATGTGCTTGCGTCTTTTCTGTGTTATATCTCTGTGCCCCGTTTATTTATACTAATATAGTGCTCTACCGACTGACTTACTTATTTAGCCTGGCCATACTGCCTAATTTCTTAGCAAAGCTAAAAAGGTCAGTCTCGAACGTCCTAGAGAACAAATTTCTTGAGCTTGAAAACTCAGTAAAGACATGCAGTGGCTTGTACGACACTATTAAAGGCACAATGGATAAAACTACAGGCACAATTAAGAAGCTTCAGACTGACAATAATAATCTCAGCAATCATATTAAAATTCTCCAAGCTGATGTAAATAGTACGGAGGAGGGATCCCTTAAGCAAGAACAGTGGTCTATACTTCAGAATATCGAAATAGTAGGTGTGCCAGAGGTCAGCGACGAGAATCTGCCCAAGATCGTGGAAGATATCCTAAACATTTAGGCGTGCCACTAGCCCCTCAGGAGTTGGATTTTGTTCATTGTGAAAGGGTTGTAGCCCGAAGTAGCCGTGAACAGGTTCACGGCAATGAAACGGGAAACTTCCGGTCCACAAAATTTATTAAAGAAGTGAAGTTTAAAGAAAGGGCTGTAACAATAAAAAGGTAAATGTAAAAAAATAGGTACAACAGTATAACACACTCCCAACACTTTATTATTAAGGCACTTACCCCTAAATGGGCCGAGTAACTGAATTACAGATATAGGTACATGAAGGCTGTAGACTTATAAATTATTACACATGATTTAGCTTATTAAATGATTATAAACGTAGTAAAGAACCAGAATTAGCGATTATTCGCGATGGAATTTGGAACAGCTCCGACTGTTGTGGCGGTCGAGCTGGGAGTGACCGTGGTACGAAAACAAAATGAGAAAGTGAAGGAAGATGGAACAATTCAAATTTAAAATTTAAATACATGTAAAATAAAAAATGATAGGATACAAGCGGAGAGAGGCAATACAAAGAGGTGAGATAACGCTGTAACGAGGTCACACCGTCACAATCGTGTTCAAACTAAGGGTCGTATTTCAGAACTCTACTCAATGCTCAAGTCAGGAATTGAGTATGATTTCAATCACTGGAAATACGACCCTAGTGGCAAGGACTTGAGTATGATTTCTGGTGGTTTAAATCATACTCAAGTCCTGACTTAAGCATTGAGTAGAGTTCTGGAATACGACCCTAAGAGACAAGTTAAGGGAAACTCGCGTAATACAATAGTTCGCTTCCAAAACCGTATCAAAAAGCACGCAGTGTTGTCAACTGCTCGTAAATCTCGTGGTATTACTTCGAGGGATATTGGAATGAAAGGTGAGCTCAAAACTGTTTACATTAAAGAACATTTAACTGTAAAACTCAGCAGTTATTAAATAGTTGTAAAGCGAAAGCTAGACTGAAATTATAAATTTGTGTGGACAAAAAACTGCAATGCAATGCAAAATGATTTTCTATTTTTTTGTAATCATAATATCACAAATTTTGTATACATAGTGAGTTTGTGTAATTGGCTTTTGTACTGCTTAAATACATTTGTCAAATAAGTTTAAGAATGCTGCTGAAACTTTGATAAAAAAAATATATTGACCCTCCCTACCGAGCCTTAAGGTATGCGAGAAGGGCGATGACTTGTGCGCGCACAGGAACCATCTAAGCTCAGGCTCTGACCCCATATCAGCCAGAGTACAGTGTTGGTCAGTAGTAATGTTACTTGTGACTTATTATTACAATGACTTCATCCGGCTCTCAAAAGGCTTGTGCCTCGGAAGAACCGCCCAGAGTACACGTACAGCACCCTCTCTATTTTCCAGATAGGTACTGGAGCAGTTTTCACGCTCACTTTCCGTTGCGCACTGCACAACTAACGGTTGCCACCGCTAAGTCGACTCTAAAGTCCACTACCAATTCTCCTCATTGGTGGCAGAGCTGTAATTCACGCTCACTTCCCGACACCGAACAACGACGTCTCTCCAGTTCCCAAGAACCTAAGCGGCAGGATGGACCAGAGGATATTTAGTTCAGCCTCTACTAGCTCCCCGGGCTAGTTCCGGAGTTGCCGGTTGCAGTGTCCTGCGACAATATCCGGACATAGCTTCCGACTTAAAGGGCAACTTATGTGCGCCGCGCGTGTCCTCGCTTTAAGCCCTGTACTAGACAGCTGCTAAGACGTGCTAGCAGTGCACGAGACAGACGCCCCGGCCACACACCGCCGGGGTAGACGAACATGTCCGTCTCTGCAGGTCACCACAAACCCCAGCGAGTCTATACCCAAGTTCAGGTCCAGCAGAGGCGCCCGTTAAGGCGTATCACTGGCGGATGGCTTGGCTCGGACGCCCGCTGTACCCTGGTCTTGCCGGCCGGGTCGTAATCTCTCCGGAATAAACTATCTCTCGGGTCGGTAGACAGGGACATAAAAAGGGACATAAACTAACAACAGCCAAAATTCCGAAAGAGAATGTTGACCTTACACGCTATTGGTTCGAGATCAATTTGCAGTGGGACTTGCATCGAAGGCTGAGTTCCCTTCCATCCATGCGTTATTAAAATGATCGGACTATAGAAATCACTAATTATACAAAATGTCCAAATTTGCAAAATGTCGAAACTAGCAAAATTTATTAAGTTATTGGCGGCCTCAGTGGTCGCGTGGCTTGCACACCGCTTTCCACGTGTCGCTATATCTGAGATCTAGTGTTCGATTCCCGGCCGGGTCACTGTAGAAACTATTTTTTCTACATTGTCTCGAGTTTGGATGTTTGTGGTACCGTCGTTATTTCCGATTTCCATAACACAAGAGCTTTAGCTACTTACTTTGGGATCAGAGCAACGTATGTGTTGTTCTCTAATGTGAAATTGTATGTTTATTATGAAAAATGTCCAAAGTAACAAAAACCAAAGAGCTTTAAAATGTTAAAGTATCAAAATATCCAATGTATCATATTGTCCATAGTAGTAAAATGTCCAAAGTATCACAATGTCCAAAGTAGTATCAAAACGATTAAAGTATTTCGTTATAGTGCCAGAAAGTTCTAATTTACTAGGGATGTTCTTGCAGTGTATGTTTCGTATAGTAATAGTTAATATAGACAAAGTCAAAGTTATAGTCAAATAATCGTTTATTCCATAGGTAAAATTTTTACACTTGAAAGCATTGACTTACAAATAAATGGACGACGGGTCTTGTTACGGACGGCCGTACGCGCCTGGCCGGTCAGAGCTAGAGTTCAGACGAGAATGATTAATTCAAGAGCTCTGATTGGCCGAGCGGCGTAGCGACCCATTGATAGGACCGGTACGATGTGGGAGACACCGTACTGGTATAAATATAAGCGATTATTGTCATTTACTCATTCACTTTTTGTAATCACTCTTAGAAACACTTGTTGTCTTGTTTTGTAAGTCAGATTGACATTTACATGAATATATACAGTCCACTTCAAATTAAGGAGTTTCATTGATATCCAAGGAAGAATAAAGCAGGGTAATTCGGTTCGGCTGAATTCACCACAGGTCTAATATAAAAACCACGAAAAAAAATGTCCCAAGTCAACATATTTAAACGTAGTGACATTTAAAGGAATATGAAAAAGCTAAAACGTTGAATTTAAATTGTAATGTCATCGCAGTACTATCTAATTTTGCTTGCTTCGCTGTCAGTCGAACAAACGAAGACTAGAGCGTGAATGACGCTCTGTATACGATTTTAACACCCTATAAGTTCGGACACTTTTTAGCGCGGACCCGACGTCCATATAATTGTAAGTCAATGCTTGAAAGCGTCATTTTTAAGCTACTTTTTAAGCTACTGCTCATTCACTACGCTGACCTCCCTAAGAAGAACGAGCAAGAAACTCTAGGGATCGCTCTTTTCAAATAAACTTAAATGCTATGGAATAAATACACTTCGAATCATAATTGAATCTAATCTCTTCCCAGAATCTAGGCTCTTGTTGTCCTTTCACACGTCTTTATCTAAAACACACTTCAATTTTGTAATATGACTTTTCAATTAAAATACTTTTAAAGTAAGTTTTAAACTTAGGAAATTATAATCTTAATATATTCTCCGAAATCTTATTGTAAAAACGTATACAGTTCCCCATAAAAGAATCGTTTACCTTGGTTAAACGAAATCGTGGAACCATGAGTTTGGACTTAGTTCTAAGGTTAATATTATGGATATCTTCTTTCTTAATGAAATTTTATATATTTTTACGGGCATACAAAATATTTCAGTAAATGTACTGTGATGTCACAGTCATGATATTGTTACAGGTGTATAGTGCAAATACATGCCGACTCGCCTGCAGAAGTCGACTCGCCATAAAACTGTGTGGATGCAAACCCTTCTATTATTTTTACGACGGTATGATTCCATTTGTATTTTGTCTAATTGAGAATTTAAGTCTTTGAGTTAATTCGAAGGGAAAATTCACCTCAAATAATTTTTATATGAAATAGAGAAGGAATCCTCAATGCGGACACGCTGCCGACGACCACTCAGGTAACTATGAATTTAGTAAATTGCCGTTGGAGTTAGATTAATAAATAAAGGCACGTATTTAAATGATCTTTTTAAATTTGCAAAAGCGGCAGGCAAAAAAATCTAAACGGTCATCTTTTTTTGGTCTTGGTCATGGTCTTTATTTTTTAATTTTAGTGAAGGGACGTGCTCTTTAGCCCCGATATTTATTGAGCCAACAGACTATGTAACGAAGATTATTCAAGTTTATAAATTTTGGTACCTGTCAAGTAAATTATAATGAAATGAAATAAATATTTATAATAAATTGTTACTGTTTATTGTAATGAACCGTCGGGCTCTTCTCCATATGAACGTGAATCATCACTTGAGTCCTCATTAACATTAATTATTAATTCTTGAGTACACAAATTGTCAAACGCAACATCCCGATCCTAATCAGGCAATATCTTCTTTTTGTACTTTTCACGATAATTTCTTTTTTCATAAATAAAATCGATTCGAACGAATCAGAGCATCACGAATTGATTACAATTCTAGCTGTCAAAAGTTAAAAACATATATAACAATAAAGCGTTGTCAATGTGTGGGGAATTTCAAATCGTTTGAGCTTGATTGAGGTTTTTGTGGGGATTGGCCATTGACTTACAAATAAATGGTAACTTTTTTGCTGAAATAAATTAAATAAAAGTCACTGTACTACTGTCATAGCCGTACTTACGTATGCACAAGTAACATTTGCAAGAACAGTTCGCAGTGCTGCTATGATTGTGACGGGATGAGCCATTGACTTACAAATAAATGGACGACGCGTCTAATACAAAAACCACGAAAAAAATGTCCAAAGTCAACCTATTTAAACGTAGTGACATGTAAAGGAATATGAAAAAGCTAAAACGTTGAATTTAAATTGTAATGTCATCGCAGTACTGTCTAATTTTGCTTGCTTCGCTGTCAGTCGAACAAACGAAGACTAAAGCATGAATGACGCTTTGTATACGATTTTAACGCCCTATAAGTTCGGACACTATTTAGCGCGGACCCGACGTCCTTATAATTGTAAGTCAATGGGATTGGCGCTATGTGGGGACAATGCCCCAATCGAGTTGAAGTGAATTGAAATTCCCAGACATTGGCAACGCTCACTGAATATATATGCGTATAGGATGCATAAACACACCAGACAGGTACAACCGTTACAAGATAACATACAGCTAAATGAATATTTAAACATACATTTAAAAAATGTATAGGTAGCTTTACAAATAAATGTGTGTATTATATTTCTGTATGTTTAAAACAAAATTTCTACAAAGTGATAAGATTAAACCGTGATAGAAAGGAACTGATATTAGAATATAGAAAAAAATATTGTGAACGATTGTTATGTGGCCGCTGGACGAGTGGGTCCCGAGTTTGATTCCCAGTAGAACCGATTTTTTTTTTATAATATCAAGTGTATAATATTACGGAACGAACAAGCCGTTGCTTGGTGTGCTTGGTGGTAAGCGACACACCTGACCATACCACCTTCAATTCCCTTCAGAGATTTAAATCGCAAATATCTGAGGTCACTGCCTCTGCGCCTGTCACTCTACACATAAGTTGACAAGCCCCATGTGCCTGTAATTTCACCAGCACTCTTGCCTTTCAATACCGGAACACAGTAATGCTCATATCTGTTTAGCAGCAGAAATAGTACTTCCCTGGACGAACTCTTTCACAAGGAACGAAGAAAAGCATCGTGCTAAGATCTGCATGTTGCAATTCTGACGTAAATACAGATACTAAATTCTAAAAACTTAATAGCAATCTTACTGTTATAAACAGAAGGCCCAACATGCACTCCAGCGGGTATGGCATGTCTGGCTGAGCACGCGAGTACGTTGAGCAACAATGCCGGCGTACGATGTGTCTGTACGCAGCAGTGTCGCGATGCGCAATTTAGGGTGATGTCTTCAGAAGATCAGTATTGGTGAGTCTACGATTTTAAAATCGTGATGTCTGAATTGAATGTACGTAGTTTCAGGGGGCCTACCATAACCTTTCTAAAAACATTCTTATTTTAATTATTATAACATTACTCATATTCGTACCATGACAAACAAATCAACCAAGTAATGTATTATTGCTAAAGTGACTGAAAGAACCATTGACTTACAAATAAACGGACGACGGGTCTAATACAAAAACCACGAAAAAAATGTCCCAAGTCAACCTATTTAAACATAGTGACATGTAAAGGAATATGAAAAAGCTAAAACGTTGAATTTAAATTGTAATGTCATCGCAGTACTGTCTAATTTTGCTTGCTTCGCTGTCAGTCAAACAAACGAAGACTAAAGCGTGAATGACGCTCTGTATACGATTTTAACGCCCTATAAGTTTGGACACTTTTTAGTGCGGATCCGACGTCCATATAATTGTAAGTCAATGGAAAGAACGAATGATTTCCCCATATTGTCTATTCCTTACTAAAAATAGGAAAGAAATAACGCTATATGAACTGTATAGTGCCATCTCTTTCTTTTTTGATGTTCCGAATCGTCCTGTCGTAGTATAATGTTATTTACATTCAGAGAATTTCAACTGCCAAAAAAAGAAAAGTATGTAATAATGAAATCTATTAAAATTATGTTGTCTTCGATTATTTTTCCGCATTTTCATGAAGAAAAATAAATGAAACAAGCTGAGTCTTCATTGTCCCGTTGTGAATTCGGAATTATAGTCTAGTGTCAACTGTTAGTGACGCCAAGGAGCATATAGATGTCGCTGTCATAATTTTACGAAATAAACATATTTTTATTTAATGAGAAATTATTTCCTATGTTACCATTGACTTACAAATAAATGGACGACGGGTCTAATACAAAAACCACGAAAAAAATGTCCCAAGTCAACCTATTCGAAATTTAAATTGTAATGTCATCGCAGTATCGCGCTGTCAGTAGAACAAATGAAGACTAAAGCGGAGTTTGGCGCTCTGTATACGATTTTAGCGCCTTACAAGTGCGGACACTTTTTAGCGCGGACCCGACGTCCATATAATTGTAAGTCAATGTATGTTACTATTAAACAAAAAAAATAAACAAAATATTGAAGAGCTAGAACTTTTAATCATTACAAATCAATATTTAGACAATAAATTCGAAAATATATTGTTTCCACTGCGTCCGAGTAACTACTTTAAGATTGTTAAATTTAACATAAGAACAATATTACTTTAATGTTACAGTCGCGACATAGTACGAACTGAGTGGATGAATAGTCACAAAACTGCCAATAAAACATCATAGTTTTAACATTGCAATAAGCTTACTTTATGCGCGTCACGGTACGAAAAGTCAATGTAAGGTTAAAGTAATATTGTTTTAAGAGGTTGTGGTAGGTCCCCAGACCTCGCCGTCTCTGCCCGAAACAATTACTGTCAAATAAATAATACTAGACCAAATTAAAAGATGCATCATGAGAATGAAGAGAAATAGGTAAGGTGGTAGTACTTCCCGGAGCTCTGCTGCTACTATAATATTAACATGTGGTTTTATTATACTCAGGGTATTTACTAATCATCACGGTTGATTGTACAGGCAATTCGAGAAATTTCTCCAGCTGTGTTTTGCTTTTAGGGACAAAGGACCGTTCGTGAACAGAGGCTCCGCCCGTTACACGATCCAAGCTCCTCGTACCAGATATACCAGGGAGATCGTCTTCCACTTTCAGGATCTTGTTGGTTAGTCAAATATTTAAAGAAATATCCTAAATTTACCAGAGAGATCGTCTTCCACTTTTAGGATATTGTTGGCTAGTCAAATATTTAAAGAAATATCCTGGATATATTAGAGAGATCGTCTTACACATTCAGGATCTTGTTGGTTAAGTTAACTATTTAAAGAAATATCCATTCAAAATTAATACTAACAATGGTAATAATTATTAATACGAAGATCGAACACTCAGAAAAAACTCCTTCGATCCGGCCGGATTCGAACCGAAGTCTTCTAGCATACCATATCAGACGCTATACCAACTAAGCCACGGAACCAACCAGTTTTTATACAATACACGACAACAAACACATAGAAAAATTCGTGAGGTCCGCTGGTTCGTTCCGTGAACCTCCTGAAGAACGAACCTCAAAATCCTGGAGAACTTGCAAGCGTTCTCACCGACGACCTCCGTCCCCGCTCCTGCGATATTTATGCTACCGTTTTTTTTACCGCACAGATTTATCACACACAGAGTTGTATATAGAGCGATCTACTTAAATATTTTTATTTTTGTAGGAAAGTGAAGTCACATGAGTTATTAGAAGTCACGGAACAAAAGTTGTTTTTATGATGTTGGTCCTATAGACTTGCGGGGTTGTTAGTATTTTACAAATCACCTCGTATAGAAATAGTTTCAATATACATAGCTTCTAACTAGAGTTAAGTTTATTGTTCTGAGTGTGTTCATCAGTGGCGAGGCGTCCACATAACTCAATTTTAACTTTCTTGCCCAACATTTTTCACATATTGTCAAATACTACAGTTGTGCTAAATTTTAACCCCTTCATGGACCGTACTGGAATAATACCGCACACCAAAAGTCACTACTGTTCTTTATGCCGTAGTGACCATATTGATTCAACATGATTATTGCGCTTTATCACTGACGGCTCATCCCATTGACTTACAATAATAATTATATGGACGTCGGGTCCGCGCTAAAAAGTGTCCGAACTTATAGGGCGTTAAAATCGTATACAGAGCGTCATTCACGCTCTAGTCTTCGTTTGTTCGACTGACAGCGAAGCAAGCAAAATTAGACAGTACTGCGATGACATTACAATTTAAATTCAACTTTTTAGCATTTTCATATTCCTTTACATGTCACTACGTTTAAATAGGTTGACTTGGGACATTTTTTTCGTGGTTTTTGTATTAGACGCGTCGTCCATTTATTTGTAAGTCAATGTCTCATCCCGTCACAATCATAACAGCACTGCGAACTGTTCTTGCAAATGTTACTTGTGCATAAGTAAGTACGGCAATGACAGTAGTACAGTGATTTTTATTTAATTTATTTCAGCAAAAAAAGTGTAAATTGAAATAGCGTAACCCTTGCACTAAAACAAATAAAAGTAATTATGTACTAACAATTCTAAAAGACACAATTACTAATTAGATTATATTTAAGGAGTGATAAAGGTTATTTATTTACCATTTGAATAATTAAATCACAGTTTGGAAAGTAGTAAGAGAGGTGATTTTGAATACTAATAGTATACTGTGTGTATCGTTTAGATAATCGTCAAATTTAACCGAAAATTAAGTAATTCATTTCACCTAGATGGCAGAAAACACCTACCTAACAACCTGATTTTAAGTGTAAAAACACGTTTCATTACTATTTATTATAGAATAGGGTTTCTGCAGTACACATTATTGATTAATTGAATTACTAAAAAACATGCATTTAGAGAAAAAAATTGAGGGATTTCTTACCGTCAGAAAATTCCAGCGCGAAAACAAACTACATAACCACAAAAGGCAGTCGCTGGCGATGCACTGACATGTACGGTCTTACATCACCTCATACAAACACGTTGGTATTCACCGTATGTAACGTCCACAAATGTATCTCAAATAAATCATTCAATTGTTGATACTTCTCTATGGAGAAGCAGTAGGTAGCAACTACATAGAAAGCACTTGGCATACGCACCGTAAAGTCCGTAGTAGTTTATATAAGATCCATATCGACCCCTCCTATGTATACGTAAAGTATCGTATGTCGAAATTGCTAAGTTTACAGGGAAGAGTTTTTAAGTTCTCCGTTTTATTCGGCAAAGCTCGTTACTCACATAGAGTGATCATCTAATAGATTATCATAAATCATCTAACCGATATCTAGGATTTTATAATACTCTATGTGAGTAACGGGAAATACTAAAGTCACGAGTTGTGCCTATGTCAGTGAATTCAGAACTTTAAAAGGCTCCCCTGTAAACTTGGTAATTTCGACATACGATACTTTACGTAGGCGGGGTCGATATATCGAAACGGGATGGCCCGTACTGTCCATATTTGAATTTTTCATTTTACGGTAAACGCCGTTATTGTCCATGAAAGGGTGTAGAATAAGTTAACCAGTGAAGTAAAGTATACCCGAGCCTTGTGTGTATTTGTTTTGCTCCGGGTTTACTAACAATAATTTTTTCGCCTCGCCACTAGTGTTCATTTATAAATATCATGGTATAAAACTATTCAGCATAGACTCCCTCGTTCTCCCTGGTTTGCTGAGCACAAAATTAAGAGACAAGATCTAGTTATCGCTTTGAGACTACATTCCGGTCACATTCCACTGAATAAATTTGCATTTATAATGGGAAAAGCTGACAGTCCAACTTGTAGTGAATGTGGGATTATGGAAGATGTTTGCCACGTAATTATAGAATGTAAACGGAACGAGAATCAAAGATCTGACTTACAAATTAAAAATAATAATATTAGTAGTGTAAACTTATATTGGCATCTCCGTGTAGTGTAGAGGCGAAGATGCTATATAATGTAGTGGATTCCGGACTTAAGAACTGACCAAACTAATTATTTAAGCTTTGTAACCTTTTTGTTGTGTGTTTCATTGGAACAAAATCCTCTAAAAAAAATTAAGATTAAAAAATATTATAAATATCAAATGATCGCGCTATGGCAGAGATTTGATTCGGACCCGCCATTGTATAGTGTGCGTCATCCTTCATCTGAAGACGTAATTCAGATATCATAGTTAGATTAGATTATGTTATCGTCTGTATGTAATTTATAAAAAAGCATTATTTGAAATTGATTCTACTGGAAATCAAACCTGGGACTTAACATATAATATCAAGAGAACTTAACCACTAACCTATAATGCGTAACAAAACAATTACGACGTCCTTAATTAAAACAATAATAATGTGATTATTTTGTAGTATCGTTCGGTGGTGCAGCTGGTTTGTTCTTGGGAGCTAGCTTCATAAGCTTTGTGGAAATATTTTACTTTCTTTTGTCGAAATTTCTGGGATTGTGCGTCAGAGATGAACCAAAGAACAACATAGTTCAAATTAAGGTAAGTGCATTTATCGTCGTCGCCAATTCAGAAAATGGCGCCCAACGTGGGGCTAACATTTCATATTGATTACAGGCTAAAAGAGCGGTAATACCTTATGAAACTTGGAGAAAAATGGAAATGAGTTCTATTCGTAATAAATTCAAGAATTACGATTACAATGCACAAGGCCAGAGGAAGTTTTATCATTGAATTATTTATTAATGTGATTTTATATTGTTTATAATTAAATCTTTAGATTTTAAGATATTAATTGAAGCACAGCGAGCGAAACATTCTTGGCATTTATTTATTGAGATTTTTTGTGCAATAACTCCGCTAGTTTTGTTATTCAATACGAAATACCAAAAAGACACGTTATAGACTGTATATAACACACTTCCTTGAACTTTAGATAAATATACTCTTGCTTTTTCTAATTTTTCCTAATCACTTAAAAATGTTTATTAACGGTTTACATTTAAAGTTAATAGGACGTACCAAATATCGGATACTTTTTGAACATTCTAAAAAAACATTAATATAATTTAAAATTGTATATTTATTGCAGTCACAGTCATTTTCTATCTAATCTACCCTAATTATGGATATCCAGCACAGGGTATACTATTCATTATTGGATATACAGTATAGAGTACACTCTTAAACTAACGCATGTATTTAAATGGTCCTTTTAAATTTGCAAAAGCAGTAGACAAAAAAATCTAAACAGTCATCTTTTTTAATGATCCCCCACCTAAACAAATAACTAAACATTTAAATATCAAAGACATTATACAACCAGTGATGTAGGTACCCCAATATCGGATATCTAGTATTGTGGATACATAGGTAACTACCTATTTGTACAATAATCGGTTACGAAAACTACACCCTGCGCTATTATCGCCAAAATGCGATAAGTTCTGTATTCTAACTATGCGCCTAGCCAATACATAACACTGTCACAAATTATAACTTACAGTACTTTAACAGTGTTTTGAAGTCAAGATCTGAAAAAATCGTTGAATGGAAAAATACACTTTGAATATTGACGGCGAATTGAAGGCAAAAACGGCACAAACTAATAACAAAATATTGGTAACTCACATTGACGAAGTAGTTTTAGTTTTTAAACAAAGGTGGTGTTTAGTTTTCATTACAGCTGAGTATCCAGTATTGTGCACGTATCCAACATTTGGCACGTCTCTCTTATTGGTTAAATTTCATATTTATATTTAATTAATTGTATTTGCACACGCTAGAATTCTAAGCATATTCTATAGGTATATTTCTGAATAAAATTACTTATCCATTTCTAAACGGATGCGCATGAAATTTCAAACTAGTCGTGTGGCATAAACTGCACTTTTACATGAAAGTGAATGCAGCTTAAATTACGCAACTCAAATAACGTAACTCACAACTCAAAAATTATGTTTGTTTGGCCTAACCAATGATATTATACTCGGCCTAACCCTAAGGACGCGTTCCCATTATGCCGCAACGTTTTATTTATCGTTGGACAACTATCGCGTCTAGCTTGTTTCCTGTCGTGACTGTCACTGTCACGTGACTGTGAGCAGTAGTGCGATTCACGTAAGTTCAAGCTATCAAAATATCGTTGAAGTTACGTAGTCGTTCGATCGAAATCCTGTTCAAAATTGGAATTCACGTATCACTTAAACGAACGTTGATATGAATAGAATTGAAACGTAACGACATGTACGACATCTTGGATTGTGACATTTGACTTTTAGTCGTCGAAAGTCTATTGAAATTCGACTGTCACACAAGAATACGAACAGCGACTAAATCGCTACGATATCGTAACGGTTTGATTAGGGTAAAACCGGGATAGATGCCGCAGTGGGATAGATGCCTCGTTTTCAAAAAACCTAACTTCCCCAAATCGCAACAAAGAATAATTAGTTTAAATAAGGAGTATAGACACCACTCATCAAAGTTCCTGCAGGGCTTCGTGTGGAATAGACGCGTTTGGCTTGTGCATGCGTTTATTTCCGCGACGAACACGATAAACGGTTCAAAATTTCAGACGCAAGTATTTACTGTCGCATAACTTTGTAAGTTATAATAAATTCCGTTTTATTATAACTATACACTGGTTCATTAACTGCGCACCTAAGTGTCAATAATCGCTCTTTTGTATATAGCTTAGTTATATAATAAAAGGACATCTATCCATATCGAATAGGATAGATGCCTCGATTTTTCGCGGTGTAGGCTAGGTGTTAGGGGCAAAGAACAATACAAGAAAGTAGGAAAAGAAAATAAAAAAATACGTTATTTTAGTAAACGGCAAGTAAATGATAATAGTTTAAAAGTAAGTAAAACAACCAAAAAGACAAATTATTCACAGTTTTAAAATGGTTTAAACAGCGAACATTTTTGTATAGAATGTTTTGATAGCTACAAAAATACGAAGTGAAGTAGGTAATAACTTTAAATACGTATATATTTATTATTAAAGATGTAATATGTATATACTATATATTAAAGATTACAAATAAAACATTTTATTATGAATTTTACTATTTTATTCTAAAGGGCATCTATCTTTCTTGGCATTTTCATTGTGTGGCGTCTATCCATATAGGTAGGCACTATCCTCAAAAAAATAGGTTTGCAAAAAGTCAATTTCTTCAAAATCAGTAAACGTTAGATGAATAAAATCAAGTATTAACGTAATGTAAAAGATTAAACTATAACTATCCATAGGAATTGTTCAAAAAGTGGAGCATCTATCCCGGTTTTACCCTACGTGAATTACCACACTGTTCCCACTAGATCATGACGATTATTTGTCGGTTCACGGTAGCCGCCTTGTCGTTTGCACGACAGAATCTTTTGAAGTTGCGATTATCTGTCGTCACATTTTTATCGTGACGTTTCATTTATCTTCGGACGAATGTCGTTCTAGTTCTTTCCATTGTCATGACATTCTGTCGTCACGACATACTGGGGACGCGCTCTAAGAGGTAAAATATTTTCTTCAAATTCCCAACAAAAAAAGAATCATCGAAGTAATAAATACCATACACACAAAAATGATGAATGGATTACCTTTTTTTAGCTCGGTTCCAAATAGTTTAGAAGGTTTTATCTATTTATAACAAATAAAATGAATCATATAAACTGCAGCTGTAAGTTCCCAGTAGTTGACAAAGCAAAAAGTAGGTGAATTAGTTGACGGAATGTCCAGCACGCAATTCCCACATTGTGTAATTGGGTCACTGCAATCGATCCGTGTGTGGCACCTTTATTCTATTTAGTCTGGTCAAAGTATGACAAGTTATTGATGAAACGTTTTGATATTATCTTTATACACATGGTCGGACGCCAAATTGTGCTATTAGATGTATATTTATTGTTGTAGGAGATACGCAATTATATACGGGAACGACAAAAAAATACATTACGATGTATACACATCCCTCCTTGTCATGAGGAACGCATTTCGGTAAGTTTGAGATTTTTTAACCGACTTAAAAAAAGGAGGTTCTCGATTCGACTATATTTTTAGTATGTATGTTATATAGCTCCGGTATTTATGAACCGATATTGATGATTCTTTTTTTGCTGGAAAGAGGGTACCTCAGTATTGGTCCCATTTAAATTTAAAGGAAATATTCTTTCTACCTCTAAGGGCGGCAAGCTTGGGGATGAATCCGGTTTCGCGCACTTTTTGCTAAGCGATTTCCATAAAACTTGGCAAATAGAAGTAATTTCAAGAACTTTTGAGGTCGTTTTTCTTTTATAAAAGAGTTACAATTGAATAATAAATAACAATAAATAAATATTAGACAACATCACTTACATTATTCTGATCCCAAAGTATGTAAGTAACACTTGTGTTATGGAAATCAGAAACAACGATGGTAGAGACAATATAGAAAAGTTAGTTTCTACACTGACCCGGCCGGGGATCGAACCCGGGATCGACACCATGGAAACTGGTCTACAAGCCACTCGACCACAGAGGCCTTTAATTGACGTCACCTAAAGATTTATTATCACCTAAAAAAATAACAATTACGGTGATTTTATTAAAAAATAAAACTGACACTGAATAAGATATTAAAAAACCGATTAGAGGGGATAGTAGATCTGGTTTTGCTGATTCCAGAGGGTCTTTGAGAGAACTAGTGGCGTACTAACTAATAAAATACTAACAACGTCATCACAGGACCTTGTGTACTTATAAAAAAACATAATACATTAGTGTAGGATTGATAAATGTAAATAATTTGTAACTATAGTACCGGCACGCTATGATGGCCGTTTTGACGTTTGTCCGCTCTTCAAGTTTCGTATTAATTTATAACTACATTGAAAGAGCTAGTTGATGTACGGACAACGGCACCACAGACTACACATTTTTGTTCGAAAATCGCCTCCAGTGCGACGGAACAAGATACGTCAATGTGTAGCTTGATGTGCTGTTATCACTAGTTACAATAGTGACGTGCCGTAAAATGTATGGATGTACAATTTTACGACAGAACTAGGCATTTGTTTTTCGAAATTCAAAATTAAAAAGAAAATAAATGTCACTTATGGAATCGCTAGCCAGCACAACTTCTACCCCCGGTAAACTCGCGTCAAAGCAAAAAGAAATCACTTTCGAGTTGACGATAGGTATATTAAGTAAACATTTTTATTTTCGTTTTATTAAAACTTTTTAAACAGTTACCCTTTGCAGTACTATATTAGTTATAAATCTAAAATCTTACAGATGCGACTCGCATTTGATTATATTTTTTCGATAATGTATTGAGATTTGACCTCATTATTGTAATCTGTCAAAACGGCCATCATAGCGTGCCGGTACAGTAGTGCTTTCAAAAGCGATCGCTTTAAAAAATAAACTGCATATGTTTTTAATTATTTTTATTACTAAATGGCAGTGGGTAATTTCAACATTAATAGTGACGTTACAAATTATACAAAAATCTATCTAAAAATTGTTACATATTAGAACTAGTATATAATATAACATCCATATAAACTTTATAAGACCATTATAAAAGGAAATTAAGCCATAACAAAAGAGAACTGACTAAATACGTACTGGTAACTCGGACACAAAATAATTTTTTTGTGAAACATGCCATCTATCCCTGATATCGGGAACTGTTTTGTCAGTTTTATCGCTTTTTTGCGTGGCATATTTCGGAAGGAATTATCTACTTTATTTTTTGTAATAAAGTTGTTAATCTTTTTTTGCAAATCGTTCGAATTAGTTCATTTCATATTACGTGACCTATCTATACGTACCTATAGTCTCTGTTTTTTGAAGACGGAGTAAAATGACATTTGTAGGGTTGCCAGTTTTCATAAAATTTTAATTTTAGATCAATTTTTATTCACATACATTTTAACAAGAATAGCCGGATTTTATTGTCTATATTGAATTAAACAGAAAAACTTTAAAATATATCTCCTCTTTGTATTTTTCGTAACCATAGTTCTAAATACAGTGTATGTGTGAACTTACAATAATTGACAATTCAAATGAAGTTGTGCTCAGTAATTGGATGAATAATGGGTCGAGGATGATTGAAATGGAACAAGTTCTGCTATTTAATCCATAAGCGTTCACGACATTCAGTCGATAGTCGATAGAATATTTATCGACTGCAATCACTAGCTGTATATCATATACTATATGTGTTCTATTTAGTCCAGATGATATTAAAAAAAATCATTGGTATACGTAAAGTACTTATTGAACATAGTGGTTTTCTTGAAAAACTTCGAGGTAAGTTTGTTTTTTTCTATCGTAAAAATTTTTAAGAATTGTAGTTTCACACCACATGGTAATCAGTGTATATTCTCAATTTTACTAAATATTTTTTCCCAAAGTGATTGTTTCAACACTTTCGCTGTTATGCGGTATTAACCAAAGCCATATAAGCATTTATATTTTTACCATTTCGGGCACAAGGCAATGAGAACAAGAATTCGCAACTAACTATTTGTATGTTATTGAATTTGTGCTCTGTGTAATTTAAGATAAATAAATTAACAGCTTTGACATCTGATTTTTTTACATCATTACACTACGGTTCCTTCATCCACCCAATTCGTCCTCTGCCAAGCACCACCATAAGCACGTCTTCGTTCTCCGACGCAGGCGTTACACGCCGTATGTACTGGCGGGGTATCTTGCGAGGCGTTGTTGATGATGATGATGCCGCTGATAAACAGATAAAATCTCATCAAAAAAACAGTTTTGTCTTAAGAAGCAAATACAAAAGCTAAATCAATGATATGTAGAATGAATAAAACTGTAGTGTAAGTGAAGCCCTTTACATAGAGGAAGTAGCGAAATTTGTTAGAAACAATCTGGATATGTTTGAATGTAACAAGAATGCTCGGCGCAGAGACAGGCTGGTTTCGCCTGCACCTGTTCTGGAAATGTATAAAAAAGGCCCATTTTACAGATCCATCCAAATTTACAACCAAATCCCAAAGTCTCTTAAGAACATGACAAAAACAGCCTCTTCTTCTCCAATCTAAAGACCTTCCTCTTAAAAAAGGCATACTATTCGGTCTCAGAGTTCATGCAGGATAAACTAAATTAACATTATACTTATAATAATATAATAATTACAATTGTTAATAAAAATAATAATAACAATTAATAATAATAATAATAATAACAATAAATAAATAATATGCCTATACGCCTTTGACATAATATAACCTACTTAAATAATGTAATATTTAGAAATTTTAAACATTTATAAAAATACTTATATAATAGCTATGCAAAAAATAGTTGAACCATTGCATATATGGATAAAGCCGATAATATTGTATACACAACGGGACTTTGTCATATAATAATAAACTAGATTTAAGTTATTTTTGCTACGCCCTGTCAGGGCCCATGTGATACAATTATTTCTTGTATATCTGTTTTTTTCACCATGGTTGCAATAAACGATACAATACAAAAAAAAAAGCTGTTGAAGACTTATATATGGCAGGTACTGGCCATGCCTTTCTTGTGTATGCACTTGCCAGTTTCATGAGCTTGTAAGGTTCGCGCAAGTGTACCAGGACCCGATTCAGAACTCTTCGATATTTTAACCGAATAGTTCGATAGGATATCGTTCTCGAATCGAAAGTCGCTTTCCGTGCTATTCAGAACATTCGAATTAAAACGTTCGATTCGGTTTCGGATACGACATCTTTATCCAACAACGTTTACGGAGTTAGTCGGCGAATATAGACTATAAGAAAAATGAAATCTTTTTATGAACATTTTTAAGACTTTAAAGGTCTAAAATATAGGAATGCATTAGTCTCGCATTAAAATAAATGAATAAAAATCAACAAAATCCAGATTTTATTAAAAATAATTGAGATTTCCATATTACATTCTTGCTTTGTGAACAATAGGACGTTCGGTAACTTTCATCCGATAACTGTGTTCTGAATAACGTTTGTAGCCTTTGCCGGTCGAGAAGTTCGAGTAATCGTACGGATGAGACGTCATTTCGGTTCGGTTTTGAATACGACAGTTCGATTTGGTTATTGTGAATAAAAATAAAAATAAATCGTACGATATCAAATCGAATTGATCGATAACGGAGTAATCGTAAGGTTCTGAATCGACCTGCTGACTTGTCTTAGTACTTTAATATTATGTCAAATTTCAATATTATTCATCGTCGCCACTTTAAGAAATTTGGCGCCCAATTTGGGACTATTAAATTACCAACGTTTACTTTCATATAGTTATTCAGACTTAAAATTACTTCGCCACTAGAGTTGTATGTCTCCGTTTTCGATAAAAATTGATGCACTTGGTTTAAACTACTTACCACCGCCGTCGCGGCGCGGTAGTCGCTAGCTGTGTTTCAGAGATGATCTGCGAGTACGTCGTACAAGTGCACAAGATGACATTAGAATGTGTAACACTGCAAGGGAGGCATATGTAGCCGTTTGGTAGCGGCTTAACCAGTGGGGTATTGTTTGGTTGCAATTCTGAAAATAAATTATGTAATTTATTTTGTGAAACTGATTTCCATAAATACCTCTAGAGTTAGTTGTGAAATCGATTCGAAATTAAGATCAATCAAAAAAGATAAAAATATAACCTAAAGATCAATCTTTAGGTTATATTTTTTATACTATCCCACTTGCCAACTCCTAAATATCTACCCTAAGGTTGCCTGAAAGAAATTACTATTTGCATTACTGTTCTGTGCTGTCATTGTAATTTTTAATGTGCAATGAAGAGTTTATCATTCATTCATTAATTCACTATACTATTGTGGCCTAGAACTCAGCCACGCCGACGTTAAGTCCTCAAGCGTGCAAGTGTTAGGGCACGCAGGGCATGAGATGGGTCATCGTTTGAATCGCACCGCACAAACAATCCAGGTTACATTGCTAGTTCATTGATACAATCGAAAATTTACACAATGACTCGTTATATAATAAAGCATTATAGTTAATGGACGTTTGTGTAAAACGCGTTTATGTGATAATGAGTAGCCAGTTTCATTACCTTAGGATATATTTTCGAAATCGTGCAATTGCTTGGATATCCATTTGTACCACAACATGACCATGGCAGTTTGCTTATATCTGGAGGCTGGGTTCTGTAAAAAAGCGAGTTATCACATTTCATCAGAGGCGGCTTGTCCTAAAGAGAGCTGGTGCAATGAACTCCCACTACCATCCAACACACCAAAATAAAATTATTAATTATACTTTCATATTAGGGGTTAAAGTATGAAATTGCCGTTTTATTGCAATAGGT